AGGCAGACGGAGAGTCTTCAGGTCGGGCGGCTGGACGGACGGGTGGGGCCGGAGAAAGCCGGCTGGCTGGTGTGGGTGGGGCAGGAGGGGTCGGATTGCCCAAGCCCATTTTCCCAGGCCCGGGGCACTTGGACTTCATCCAGGAGGAGGTGGACTTCATGTTTAGTTGGAGTCATTTGGGGGTCTTGTGTATGCCTCATAAAGTTAAGGTTTTGTTGTTTAAGTTGGCCCCTGGTGAATTCGCACAAATCTGAATCCTTTTCTCATCTGTCAGCAGCCTGCCCAGTTGTCCCCAGAAGCAACCACTCCTAATGTTTCTTGGGTGTCCCTGCTGAGCTGACCTGTGTGTGTGTGTGTGTGTGTGTGTGTGTGTGTGTGTAGATAGATAGATGATAGATACAGACATATATGTTGGCCAAAAAGTCTGTTTAGTTTTTTCTGCAAAATAAAAGACACATTTTTCAGTTTCACTAGTAACTGTATTGATTTGGATATTTTAAGTGTATCAGCTATCCCTCGCTAGTGGCTTCTAGAGGGTAGAGGGCAGGGCTGCTGCTGAACATCTTCCAATGCACCAGACGGCCCCACCGCAAAGAATTATTTTACCAAAATGTCAACAGGACCAAGAAACTGCACGAACCACTTTTGACACATTGGATCAGCCACAGCACCTTCTGCACACGCTGCACAAATTCCTTTTCTTGTGTTTCAGTGGCGTTTTCACCTTTCTTGAAATAATAAAGCACGGTGAGCCAAAAATGTTGTGTGTTTTCTTCCATCTTCAATATTAAAATGGCTGCACAAAAATTCACCAATTTTGAAAAGTTTTGGAGGCTGTGACGCTGATACGACAGCTGTCGGAATACAAGCTAACAAAATTGTCTCGAAGGACGTTGAAGACAACTAAGCACTACTAGAGCCATTGTACAGAAAAAACTAAATGAACTTTTTGGCCAATCCAATATATAAGAGGTGTGTGTGGGGGGGCGGGTATTTTAACTGTTATCTTTTTCTGATTACAAATGCAACTCTAGCCCACGGTGCAAAAGTCTATCCAAACAGAAATAGGTAACTTCGAAGAGAAAAGTCTGCAGTGCACACCACCTCCTGCCCGGCGCCCCTCCCCAATAACGCCGTCAGCCAGACTGGGACAGTCTTGTCCTGGGGGGCCTCACAGCTTGGAGAGGGGAGGAGACACGGGGTGCAGGGTGGAGGACCAGACTAGAAGGCTGGTAGCTGATTCTGTGGCTCCTGCAGCCGTCCGGGCAGGGGACAGAGCTCGCAGGAGAGAACGGACAGGACCAGTGTTCAGGGAGGAGGACCTCCAGGCCTCCACCTGGCTTGCGCAAGGTTGCCAAAGAAGGGAAAGGAAGTGGCATTCAGTGCCTGCCCTCACAGAACTGACCGTGTCCTTAGGGAGGCATCCCAGGCAGTGTGTCATGGGCCTGCTGTGACTCACGTCCCGGAGCCCTGGCCACACCCCAAAGCAGTGCCTCATGGTCCAGAGTCTGACTCTCAGGACACAGGCTACTGGCTCGCTCAGGGCAGTGTGGCAGGGTGGCGTTCCCCTGACTGGCCTCACCGGAGACCGATAAGCTGGCAGATCCAGTGGGGACCGGTTTGCTTGCCCAGGTATTTGTGATGAGACTGTCCCACAGTTACAGGCCAGCGCTGTCTGGGAGAAATAGGAAACTCCATCATTTCCCTTTACACTTCACGCAATATCCCACTTGTGAAACTTCTGATCGCCAGATGTGTGGGGTTTTCCCCTCTCCCCACAATTCTCCAGTTCTCAGCAGACACCAAAGGGGTGTCCCACAAATGTGACTCCATTTGGACACTATACTCCTGGAGATACCCGTAGAGCCCACAGGCACGGGGCCCCATCCCACAAGACCGCCCCTCCCCCTTCAAACATTACAAATGCAGGCGGCTGGCCCATGAGGGCAAGCAGAGTTTGCCGCCGAAAATATGCCTTTTGGGATACTGATTAAGATTTTATTTTTGGGGGGGGTGTTACTATTTGCATAGAGTGGAGAAGGAGGCAGGTCTGTCTCTCAGGTTATATTCTAAGAGATACAGGAAATAACTGTATTGACAAACAACCCCTGGTGGGAATGACAAAGGATATAATAAGACTTTGGTGGCTGAGTCAGGTATAAGCTTGTGGAGAACAGTTTTAAAATGAGCAGTAGGGGAGACCTCGATGAGGAAGTGACATTTAAATTTGAGAATTGAGCTGGTTATTTTTCAGACACAAAAGGCTCGGAAAGAACCTTTGACCTTCCCCCAAAACTCCTAAGCACTGACTTGTCTAGTTCCCCATGAGTTGCCTCCCTGCACGTTAAAGTCCCAAACCACAACCCCCACCCTTCTTCTCGGCTCATGATGGTGTATAAGCCTTAACTGTCCCATCTGTCCAGGCGAGGCAGGGGCTGCAATGGGAAATCCTGAGGCACTGCAGCCGTTGGCAGCCTGATGTCCGAGAATGACCTTGTGACACCTGATCATAACTATCAGTGTGGGTTCCTCCCTGAGTGGGCAATCAAGGAGGATTGTGGGAATTGTGGGAGGATTGTGGAGAAGCTTAAGTAAAACCCCGTAACGCTTGTAACCATTCAGTAGGAGAGAGCCATTCCCTGGCCAGAGATGGCCTACTCCCATGTCTTGGGAAGTGTACTTTTGTAAAGCTTTGCTTTACAATATCTGTGTGGTCAGTCCAATTCTTTCTTTGTGACCACCAAGAGCCTGGCTCTGGTCTCCAATCGGCGGGCGGCACTGAAGTCTCATAGTCTTGAGGAACCCATGTATGTACATAAGTAATAAATGTGGTCATTTTCTCCTGTAAATCTGTCTCATGTTAATTTTTCTCTCTTTTTAAGTATATTTTATTGATGGTGCTATTACAATTTTCCCAATTTTTCCCTTTTATCCCCCCTCCCCCACACACCCCCCCACCCCTCCAGCATCCTCCCACTTAGTTCATGTCCATGGGTTGTACATATAAGTTCTTTGAGTTCTCTGTTTCCTATACCATTTTGACCTCTCCCCATCTATTTAATGCCTACCAATTATGTTTCTTCTTCCCTGTACCTTTTCCCCCCATTCCTCCCTTCCCCCGTCTCATGTTAATTTATTATTCCAGCTAGAGGAACTTAAAATGGTAGGAGGAAACATTCTATTTCCTCCCCCACACTAACCAGTTATAAATCAGATTCCCACGATCCCCTCCTCGGGCTCTTAGGAATGACCAAATGGAAGAGATGCATAGGGCAAGCTACTCGGGAAGGAGGGGCAAGGAGTTTCCGGCTAGCTCCAAGTTCCCCGCCCCTCCAAGTATTCACCAACCTGGAAGCTCTCTGAACCCCATCATTCAAGGATTTTTATGGTGGCTTCATTTCTGAGGCATGACCGATTAAATTATTTATTGGCCATTAGTGACCACGTCAGTGTCCAGCTCCTCTGCCCTCCCGGGAGGTTGAGGGAGTGGTGAGGCTGAAAGTTCCAACCCTCTAATCCCATCATTGGTTCCCATGGTAACCAGCTCCTATCCCTGGAGGCTTTCCAAAAGTTACTCATTAACATCATCTCAGATGTGGTTGAAAGGGACTTGCTACAAATAACAAAAGACGCCACTTTCATGTTTTTATCTGCATAGCTCTGGAGCTATTCCAGGAACTGAGGACAAAAATAAATATTGTAACAAAAGATGCTCTTGTGGTTCTTAAAAAATTACAAGGATTTCAGGTGCTATGTGCCAGGAACAGTGGACAAAGACCAAATATATATATATTTCTTACTATAACCCGCAATGTCACAGCAAGCCATTTACATGATTTTAGATTTTTTTAGGAACCACATTTTAAACAGTAAAAAGAAACAGGTGAACTTAATTTTAGTTATATTTTTTATTTAACTCAATTTATCCCAAATATGATCACTTTGTCTATGCGAGAAATGTTCAAACTTGTAGAGACATTTTTTTGTATGTGAGCCAAACTGGTGACACATGCCAGAGAGGAAGGCCTCAAATGGTCTGGACACTAACAATTTGGCATCTTTCAGGCATTAGAAATTAAGGAAGAAATATGAGGAAGGTTACGTGAAGGTGGGAGGAGGCAACTTGGGAACGGGGTTACAGAATAGTTGAGATTACGTGCTGTCTTGAGGGGTCAGAAAGGGGGCATTTCAAAGGTGTGTTCACAACAGGCACAGCTTGCTTAAGGCAAAGATAAGCCTCTCAGTAAAGCAGCTGTAGGCCTGGGGTGTGACTACCCACCGGGACTGGCCCAGTTAGGAATTTACGCTCAGATCACCTGGTGAGGTTACTTTCCATAGAACCCCCCTTTTAAGTTTACAATCTTAACACACAATCAATTAAAAAATACATATATAATGAGATTGCTTACACACTTTTGGGGTACCAAGTCTTAACAGCACACCTCCGTTCACACCAGGGGCTCCAAGGCCACACGTGGCCAGTGGCTGCCATACCAGGGAACTTGCTCTGACTGAGGCCATCAGGAGACCTGTTTACTGCTGAGTCCTAGTGCCTGGCACACAATGAGGCCCAGTGATCTGCTGTCTGTGAGCTGGGGTGATCTCTCTGAGCCTCCTAGACCTGTTGTGAAGGGTAAATAAAATGAGGTATGTTAAGTACCAGCTCGGTAACTGCTGTTACTGCTCTTACTTCTCAAAGTCAATTGAAGGACAGCAGGCTCCAACGTGCTTCCTGCCTTCCTCTTGCGAGCGCTTCTCTAAAATTGCAAAACGAAAGCTTAGATCCCAGACCTAGCAGAGGCCTTGAGCTCACACTCTGGGCCACCAAAGAAATAGCGGGAACCTCTAATCCACGCCCTTGTTTTCTTTGTCCTTTTGACAGTTGGGGGCCCCGCCCACCCCAGCCCAGCCCGGCTCCCGGCGGAACTACAGCTCCCATGAGGCAGCAGGAGTCCGGCGATTACGTCATCGGCTTGGGACGCGGGGCTGGTGAAGGAGCACGCAGAGACGCCTCTCCAGGCGCGAGCGGGCGGACCTCAGACTCATAAAAAGCTGTAGGATCCAACCAGCTGAGCCCGGAGTCCCACGACTCACCGGAGCCACAACAGCAAACCCGCGGCGGCTGGTGACGCGCGCGTCCTTCCTTCTTCCGCCTCTCCTTTGACGCTCGCGGATGACGTTGTCGGCATGATGGCGGCCGCGAGGCCGGGAAGGTGAAGGTGAGAGGGCGAACGCCCGGGTGGTGGGTATGGACCCGGCCCAGCCCGGCGAGACCTGGGCACCCCGGCCCGGACCGGTGGGGTGCTGGGATCCTTGAGGTTACAGATTCAGGCACGGGGGCGGGCATCTCCACTCTCTGGCCTCGCCGCCCAGCCCTCCTTGGCCCTGAAAGGAGGGGGCGGGAATCAAGGCGGGGTCCTCTGAGGCTCCTTGTCGCCCCCGCCTACCCAGGCTTCACCGCCACATTTCAACCCCTGCCTTTCCCCCATTTCTTACCCAGCCCTTTATGTTAGACGGCATTTACTCCGCATAGGATGAATGCCGGCGTTCATCACCGTAGCGCCTTGCGTCGACCTCTCCTACTTTGGGCATTGATTACACTCTGGTATAGGTGTCTGTGTACTTGTTCGACTTCAAACAGGACGGTAAGCCCCTTGAGGGCATAGTCTGTTTTGTTTTGTTTTTTTAACCTATCCCTAACTGTAGACCTAGCACTCACAAAGAAGACACACAGAGAATGCCGAATAATTCGCTGTTTGGATGCATGAAACCACAACTGCCCATTCCCCTCTCTTGTCATCCTTCATTGCCCTATTTCTTTTCATTTCTCTTGCCTTCTCCCTTTCCCTCCTCCCAGAAAGGGCTCGGATTATTGTCCCTCTCACATGGTTGAAACAAGTGAGCTTTGGAGTCAGAGAGAGGTGGTATCTCCGTTCTCAGCTCATGAATGCCAAGCTTCTCTTTGCACCACAGAATTGAGAATCTTTTTAAAAAGATTTTAAATCTTTTTAAAAAGATTTTATTTATTTATTTTCGGAGAGAGAAAGAAATATCAATGTGCAGTTGCTGGGGGCTGTGGCCTGCAACCCAGGCATGTGCCCTGACTGGGAATCGAACCTGCGATGCTTTGGTTCGCAGCCCGCACTCAATCCACTGAGCTATGCGAGCCAGGGCTAGAATTAAGACATTTTATATCTGGCGCATATAGGTTTCCACTAAGTTCCTCTTCTCATCCCTACTCTTCTCTCTGGAGTCCTCAGGTCCACAGCCCTCAGGCCCAGTCCTTGTGCCAGGCTGTGCTCCCTCCTCACCTCCCACCCCTCTGGATCAGCCTCTGCCAGCGCCCCTGCTCCTGGCCAGCCCATGGCCGGCCGGCCCAGGACTGAGTATGTGTGTGTGCGCACCCAGGATTGGCCGCATACCTGCGGGTTGGGTTTTTCCCACGGGGCACTTCGCAGATCGTACCGTCCTGCCTCACTGAGTCAGCCTCCCTCAGGGATGAGTTTGTTTAGCCTTGTACCGGATTAGACGTGTTCTGCACACCTGGCTTTGTTTTGTTTTGTTTTTTGCTGTCTGTTGACTTGTCCCTTTTTTCTTCCCAAAGTTGGAACTGGTGGCGTTAACATAATCAGTAGCCAACCTCAACCTGAGCCAGGACAGAGGAGAACGGAAATACTTCTGTCTTTTTGGCCCAGCCATGTCCACGGTGCCCACCTGGTGAAGGCCTCTCACCATCCAAAAAGTAAGTGGTGGCTGTGATGGCTGGAACTCTGGACCTGGGTCGAGTAGAAAGGGACACACTCTGTTAGTCGTCCAGTAGCGAGCCTCTTGGGTGGGTCATCTTTGCACAGAGCCGGAGTTTTCCAGCCTGTATTGAAAACCTGTCTCCTTTCTGCTTCCACGGAGGTGGGGGGGTACACTGGCTGCCAAGAGAGCTTAGTTGAAGGTGAAAAGGAGCTGGGATCTCAGGGCGCTCCGAAGAGTTAGTCTCCCTCGTGTGTTCTCTGTTGTGCTGGCTCCGCCCTCCCCCGCCTCGCCCCGGCAGAGATTGGCTCCTTATCACGGCTCTTCTTCGAGTCAGCTCTGCCTCCTCCACCCTGTACACTCATTTGTTTCAATCTCTCAGCTTCTCCTCTGCTCCAGTTGTGCCAGCAGACGATCCGGTGGATCCGTTTTATTTTCCCTGCTAGGAGTTGCTGTACATAAATCTGGGTAAGGAGGTGGTGTGGACCCAGGGACTGCGCTTGGGGTCCAGACACACCGTGCAGTGAGTTTTGCTGCTGCTCTCCCTGCACCCGAGGCACCTAATACCTCTCTACTAATAGCTGAGGTTGAGGCAAAGCTTTTTGATTATCTTGGAGTGCTGGTAATTTCAGTTTAGAGTTGGGTTTGGCTCTGGTCTGAAGGTAACAGTAATAACAACCTGTAGTAGTGCTGTGCCCCCAGCCGTTCTTCGGGTGGGAGTGGGGGACTGCCAGGATGCATGAGCCAAAGTGTGACCCTCAGAATTTTGAAACCTGTTACGTAGAAGAAGGTTTCTTCAGATATGTTTTTGAAAGGCTGCTTTAAGTACGTAGTTAAAGTAGTGTCTTTGCAACAGACCTTGCATCCCAGAGTCTTTCCTCTGCTCACGGCCTCCAGTGGAAGGGGTCTGAAGCGTCCATATAGTGTTGTGCAGACTGATTCTACGCAGAACATTGGGCGCACTAGGGTGCTATGGACCGCACTTTGGGAAAGGCTGCTGTGAACTGTCAGAAGCCGTGGCTTTAAGAGTACTTTGCGGCAGTTACAACATCTTGAAGCACAGTGTATAGCTGGTGTTGGAGCTGGACTTGGGCCCAGCTGCGCCTGGGGGGCGGGCCGGCCCCACGTGCCGCGGTGAGCCCTGCGGTAAAGTAGGGACTATCAGGGCTTTCCAGAGGAGGAACAGGAACCCGGCCGCCTCCCACCACTCTGGAAGGCTAGGAAGCCAGCAGGCAAAGCCTCAAGATAGTAGGGTTTCTTGGCTTGTGTGCTTATATTTTGCAACTTTGGTCCATCATACCACCTATGCATGTCTGGGTTTCTCTTCAGAAGGATTAAATTCTGGAATCTGAAACCATTTGCTCAAGTCTTGACTCACTGAGCTCCAAATACTAAGAAACAGATACTTAGTTAAAAGCTGCATTTTAAGAAAAAAGTGGATTTGTGTATTCCAGGGATGGGAGGGTAAGAAGGTATTCATAGTTCAAACCATGTTTCTCACAGTAGTGGGGGAGGAAAGTAGAAATGGAAGTAGGTCAGTGCTCTGTGCCAGAGACGGGCTTTCTAGAAGCTCATACATTAGACAGGGGGACGGAGCGCAGTAAAGAACCAAAATGTCTGGTAAGGTTGCAGGTCCTCCATGGAGACATCAAGGAAGGCTTCACGGAGGGGGTGATACTGGAGTTGGGTCTAGAAGGACAGTAGCAGTCAAATGGGTGAAAGGGAAAGAAAGAGGAGTCCAGGCCGAAAGCAGCATGTGCAACACAAACATGGAACCTCAGATGGGAGTTAATAACCAGACCTCTGTTTCCCCTCCTGAGTTTGGAGGGGTGAGAAGTTCCGTGTGAGCCATTTGGGGCGGGGCATGCGGCTGCATGTTGGCAATGGCTAGAGCAGGTCAGCTCCTGGACAAGCTGGAGTCCCAGTGGATCTTGTAACATCGAACCACTGAACTCTCACTGGTGTGCATGCCTTTGAATCTTGCACTCACTGAACACTAACACTTGTGGTTTCGTATCCTTCGGGCTTCCAAACAATGACCAGAACCTGAGAGCACTTGCTTCCGCAAGCCCCGCTGGCCTCAGGGGACCTGCTGCCTGTAAGCAAGTCACTCCTGGGGCTGAGCGCTGCTGGGCCTCGCCCCTGAGCAGACCTGTTTCCTCCGTGCTCTCGGCAGCAGGTGGGGGAGCTGTGGGTGTGTCCTGGGGTTGCACCTGCCCTCCCCGAGGGCTGGGTGCTGTCATCTCGCCAGCGAGTTTGTTGTTGCTTTACGTAACGTGCAGAGCTGCCTTTGAGCTGGTGCTGTGTCATCGCCGGTCTTCCCAGTCCGTGCATCACGCCGTTGTGCACAGGAAGAGTCCACGGCTCTGAGTGAGGTTCAGTACTTGCTCAAGTTCATGTAGCCAGAGATAGACCAGGCACGACTTGCACCCAGTCGTGCTGTGTGTCGTTCCAGAGCCTGTCACCTGCACTGCTGCCTCAGGCCCCGTCTCAGATCCCTTTCTTCCCTCCAGAGGCCTTCCTCTTTCACATGCATGCGTCTCCGTCTCTCTGACAGTCTGCAGTGCTGGGCCCCAGTGCTCCTGGTTTCAGCGCGATCTCCGTTTCAGCTTCGGAGGGACTGGGGCACCGCTTCCTAGTGTCCCTTCCCAGGGCTCTGCTGCCTCTCTCATTGAAGCTCTTGACCCGTGGCCTCCGCGCTCAGACAGTCTCCCCACAGTCGGAGGAAGGGAGGAATGGACGTGTAGTCACTTCTCCTGTCTCCCCAGAAATCGTTAATGGTGCAGAGTAATCCGTAGCTCTAGGCAAAACACATGGGTTCCCATTTCCCTGTGGGTCTGTCTGTCTTTCTGCCCACTCTTTGGGATAGGTAGTTCCTGAGGGCCAGCTTTCAGGCACTACGCTAAATCTGCTTTTTCCAGGTGTTTCTGCATCTCAGGAGCTTACTCAACACCCTTTGGCACCCTTTGCAAGTTTCTCAAATATGCTCACTCATGAGCAATGCCTTCTTGTTTTCTTTCCCAGAGAGAGGGAGAGGGCAGACTGCTGGTCGGGTGGGGGCAGAGGGAGGGCAGGGCCGATGGCGCTGGGATTAGGGCTGCTGGAGAGGGCGGGGTTGGCAGGAATGTGCTGGGCGTTCCGGAGGGTGTAGCCTGGCGCACCCACACGGCTGCACGCTCTGTGCCTCATCCTCGAAGGGGCCTTTCTCCTTTGACTTCCTGGGATCTGAGGGCTCTGCTGGGGAAGCAGCTCTCTATGCTGTGGGGTCTCTCAGGAGCGGTCTGCTTTTGGGACCAGAGGTTCTCAGCCACATCAGGTGCCACTTCTCCGACCTGTCTGCCCTTTTGACGTTAGCCAAAGGTCCCTAGGTCTTTGGCGTCAGGTCTTGCAGGCCCTGACACGTTGCCGCTCTCTGAACAAAGTGGGCCCTGGAAACGCGTGTGTGATTGCGTGAGAGCAGTGGTGCCGCCCGAGCCGGAACGGGCTGCAGTGGTGAACGAAGGTGGCCAGGGCTTATCCCAGGCGGCGGTGTCTGTGTCAGAACCCCCAGACCTGCAGGAGTGGGTGCGGGAGGGGTGAGAGCCGGAGCAGGGGCTGCCCCGAAGCGCGACTGAGTGCGCCCGCCGTGGGCAGCAGCGTTCCTGCGGTTCTCTCCGTGCGCTGGGAATGACAACGGGGCGTGAGGACCACCGCGTGAAATCCGTTGGTGGCAGACTAGTCGTTGGGGGTGGGGAGAGCAAAACCGGGGAGTCTCTGATTGGATGAACAGTAAAATGGAGAGACGCATCCCTCTTTTGCATTGGTGGGACGGAACAGTTAACATGTAACATCTGCAGTGGATGGAGATGGCGCTCGGACACCCGGATGTGTGCCGTGCCCCTCCCCATGGGAGGATTGCAGAGGTGTGCTGCCCTAGATGCCCGAGAACACGGGTTCAGGCAAAGACGAGCCCAGGGAGGCGCTGAAGCAGACCGCCCACCGCAGCCTGCCCAGTCGGGGGTTTGTCATCAGACCATCCTGTGGGGTGACTTCCTTTTTCTGTATATTTTTTTGATCACATTAGATTTATCTATAACTTAAATATGGCAACACCCAACAAAAGGGGGATACGGATGTAATTTATAGTGCAGCCATGACAATTTTAATGTTTGCAAAAATATAGGACAAATATGTTTTGTTTTAATATTTTTAAAAAGTTTTATTTATTTTTAAAGAGAGGAGAAGAGAGGGAGAGAAACATCAATATGTGGTTGCCTCTCAAGCACCCCCTACTGCGGTCCTGGCCTGCAACCTGGGCATGTGCCCTGACCTCGAATTGAACCGGCAACCCTTTGGTTTTCAGGCCAGTGCTCAATCCACTGAGCCACACCAGCCAGGGCTGGAAAAATGTACTTAAAATGGCGTGTAAAAATCACGAGGTTACCTGCGACCACGGAGCTTGTCAGAGTTACCGTGTAGCCAGCCCTCTTTGTTCACAGTGGAGTTGCGGGTTCGTTTGCCTTCAGTCTGCACACTCTCTCTGTGCACACAGCGGCAGGGAGAGACCAGTGAACGTCTGTGAGTAAATCACGGACCTCTCCCTTGAGGGTCACCCTTCCTTGTGCCCCCAACCCCCAAACCAAAATCTGTGAGCACTCGGGGCTGGCCGGGCCTGGGCCACAGAGGGTGGGGGTGGTGGGAGTCACTGACGTCGGGAGTCACTGACGTCGAGCGTCACGTGGCTTCCACTGCTGTCAGTAGTCCGCACCCTCTCGGGTCACAGGAAACGCGTGGGGTTTCTGTCCCGCTTCACTGCCTCAGACGCAGACGAGAGCTCCTGTGTGTGTGTCGCCTCCCGCGTCCTCCCCGTCTCCCCAAGGTGCGGAAGGCAGGGCCCGCCGTTGTTCAGCAGGCGGGGAGCCGCCAGCACGAGGCCTGACCTCGGGCCCGGCTCCGGGGTCTGGGTGCCCACGCTGTGGGCCTAGTGTCCTGAGAGGTCCCTTCCTGCTCCTGGGATGTGGCTCTGCGGCCCTGATCCGGTCCTGGAGGGCCCCGCGTGCTCGGCGGACCCCAGGGCTGGTCCCGGTCCCCCCTCCCGCACCCTGCCATACCCCTAGCGGGACGGCCCCAGCTGGGTGTTCGCGGGTCCGCTCACGTCGTCTTCTCTTGCAGCGCGATGTCCCTGTTCTTCTCGCGAAGCAACTCCATTGTCGCAGTCAAGAAAGATAAGAGACACATGGCCGAGGTGAATGCTTCTCCCCTCAAGCACTTTGTCACTGCCAAGAAGAAGATCAATGGCATTTTTGAGCAGCTGGGGGCCTACATCCAGGAGAGCGCCACCTTCCTTGAAGGTGAGACGGGCAGCCCGCTGAGCCGGGCCCACACTGGGTGGCGGGACTTGCGGGGACGGGGGGGGGGCGGGGGGGCGGGCAGGAACAGCCCTGCTCTCACGGGGCCCACACCCGGACGGGTTGTCACCGTCCGCGGTGCTCTCTCTGCTTGGGAGCACGTGGAGTCGACTCCAGGGAGGTTGGCCAGGGAAACGGGGGTTCAGTTAAGGTTCCGTGTGCACCGTTTCGTTTCATCACGAGTGGGGGAACCTCACCCCCATCTCAGACACGAGCAGGTGGAGATTTGAGAGTTGTGCGACACTTTGCAAGTGACGCGGGGCTCACCCAGGGGCCTCGGACTCTAAAGCCCAGGCTCTTCCTGGGGGTTGTTTACTCCTGACCGGGGAGCGCTCTGGTATTTTTAGGCAGCAGGACTATGAATAGGAAACTTGCGTCACTGGCACCTTTCTCACTAGTTACTAATCTGAGCCCAGCCCGCAGGCCCTGCTCCGTCGGCAGACAGGGCCAGACTCCCTCTCTAGGAGGCGCACCTGGCTCCAGGCCCCAGGGCTGTCGGTGAAGACCCAGTGGCAGAGTTGTGCCTGCCGTGGGTCTCCTCGCTTACGAGGAGACCAGGGGTTCTCAGGCCCCAGTCTGCAGAACCCTAGAAGTTCAGTGGGAATGCCCCCGGGACACCCTTCCCTCTCTCTTCCACTGGAGTGGCTTGGCACCTGGCTGGTGTACGGGTCAGGCTGCTCCTGGGGACAAGGAAGTCTGTCCAGTACTGTGGTCTGTGTCTGTGTTCCCCCCAGCCCTAAGGCCCGTGTGGTGGTGTTAGCAGGTGGGGCCTTTGGGACATGATTAGACCATGGAGGTGGAGCCCTCATGAGTGGGGATTTGTGCCCTTACAAAAGAGACCCCACGGAGCGCCCCAACCCCCTGCGCCAGGTGAGGACACCGAGAGAAGTCTGTGGACTGGAAGACAGTCCTCCCCCAGCCAGGCTGCCGCTCTGGCCTGAACCTTCAGCCACCGGAGCTGAGCAGCCCGTTTCTCTCGAGTGTAAGCCACCCAGTCTGGTGCCGTGTCGTAGCTGCCCGACAGGCCGAGACCAAGAGTGGACCGTCTGTGCCCTGCCCTTAGCATGGCGCTTGATGCAAGAGAGAGTGTCTCCTAAATGTTTGTTAAATTTAAAAATCTGAATTTTAAAGTTGTGAGTTGGGTCATCGAATTTTTTCCAGTTCCTTACCTGCCTGTTTAGTGGTGGCCTTGGCGTTCCTGCAGTGGGCACGTGGGGATGGGGCCGACCAGGCCACTGCCCTCCCAGGCCACCTCCCGGGGCCCAGATTAACCCTCTGAGTCACTTACCCGGGTGGTGCTGCGGACAAACGAGTGCCTATTGAAGGTTTTACAGCGTGGCGCCAGCTGCAGGGGAGACTCGCTGGGTGGCGTCTGAGATGCCACTTGTGCTCCGAATACTGTGGGAGTGTCCCCAGCGCTGGGGCCTGTCAGCCCAGTGGTTCTCGAGTGTCTCAGCCTGTTCGGGCTGCTGTGATAGAACACCATAGACTGGGTGGCTTATGAACACCAGACGTTCTGGAGGCTGGGAAGGCCAAGGTCAAGGCATCAGCAGACTTGTTGTCTGGTGAGGGCCAGCTCCCTAGACTCTGGTCTTTTCTCTGTAACTGTGTGCGTAGCCAGAAGGAGCTGGCCCATGCAGAAGGAGCCTCCATGCAGAAGGAGCTGGCTGGCTCTCTGGGGTCTCTCGTACAAGGGCACTAGTTCCAGTCGTGAGGCCTTCACTGCCGTGACCTCCCGAGGGCCCCACCTCCATAGGCCACTGTAACCATGCACGCCACCTGTAGGGGACATAAGTACGTAGTCCACTGCAGCAGGGGTGTGCTGGGGGCCGAACTCCCGTCTACTCTCCTGGCTGCTGGGGCGCCTTCCTGGAGCAAGTACTAGGCGGGTGGGGCAGGGTCTCGCTCGGTTGCTCCCACCTCTCGTCATTTGTTACTCATCCGCCACTGGGAAATATTCGTAAGTGATCACTCGCTCGGCAGGTACTGCACGCCTGCCGGCGCTGGGCGCTGGGAGCAGGCGGTCTGGCCCTCAGGTGGCAGATGGTGCAGGCGGGTGAGCTAGATGATTACACTTTGGGGAGGTGAGTGCCGAGATGGGAGAAGTGCAGAGAGCTGTGGGAGCCCAGACCAGGGGGCCCGACTCAGGTCGTGGGGGCAGGCTTCCTGGGGCCTGTGCAGTCCAGGCTAGACCTGAGGCTAAGTGGGGGTGAACCAGAGGGGCTCCAAGGCGGTGCGTTCATTCTTCAGCGTGGGGGTCAGGGGCCGGGGCAGCACGGTGAGTGTGGAGACGGGGCGAGGTGGGGCGTGAAGCAGCAGGATGGCAGGAGACCCCGTGGGAGCAGGAGGCAGGGCCTCACCAGGAAGGGCCCTGGGAAGGCGCACAGGTCGGCCAGGAGCCTGGAGCCCAGGCCTGCCTTTCCCTGCTCTGCCGTTCGCTAACTCGGAGACTGGCAGAGGGTGCCGTGTTTGAAAAGTGATCAGGACGGTGCCCGGAATGGAGAACTTCATGTGTTCGCTAAGTAATAAACATACCAATGATGGCAGTTAATATTTGAGTATTCATCATGCACCAGCCACCATTTTTAGCACTTGCTGTGTTTTCATTCGTTCATCCTTGCGATAGTCACACGAGGTAGGTACTGCTGTCTCCGTTCCAAGGGCGAGGAAACCAAGACCCAGAAGGGCTCGTTTGCCTGAGGTCACAGAGCTCATCCTGGCCCTGGAGCGGGGCCCCGTGGCAGGGGACCTGCACCTCAACCCACAACAGCAGGGAGCCGCGGCGGGCGCTCTGTCCCTTCCAGACCTGTGACAGCGAGCTCCTGCCTGACACCGGGCGCTGACCCACTTTCCATCTCCACCTCCAGACACCTACAGGAATGCAGAGCTGGACCCTGTTACGACAGAAGAGCAGGTTCTGGACGTGAAAGGCTACCTGTCCAAAGTGAGGGGCATCAGCGAGGTGCTGGCCCGGCGGCACATGAAAGTGGCTTTTTTTGGCCGGTGAGTCCTTGGAGCTCTCACGCCTTCCTTCTTCTCAGCTGGGGGGGGTGGGGGGGGAGGGAGACACTTTGGCAGGACCACAGTCTGCACCCCAAGGCGCTTTTCTTATTTTTTAAGTTTTACTTATAGCAAAATATACAACATAAAATTTACCATTATAGTTATTTTTTTCTTTAAAGATTTTATTTATTTTTTAGAGAGAGGGGAAGGAGGGAGAAAGAGGGAGAAAAACATTGATGTGCGAGAGACATGTCCATCAGTTGCCTCTCGCACGCCCCCTGCTGGGCGACTCAGCCCACAGCCCGGGCATGTGCCCTGACTGGGAATCAAACTGACCACCTTTGGGTTCACAGGCCGGCGCTCAGTCCACTGAGCCACGCCAGCCGGGCCCATCACAATTATTTGTAAGTGTGCAGTGCAGTGGTATGGAATACGTGTACACTGTTGTGCGACCATCACACCGTCCATTTCTAGCGCTTCTTCGTCTCGCAAAACTAAAACTGTGACCATTGAACAGTAATCCCTGTCCCCCGCCCCCAGCCCTGGTAACCGCCGCTCTGCTTCTGTCTCTGTGAACGTCTGTCTAGGAACCTCATGTAAGGGGGGACACACGGTTCTCATCTTGTGTGACTGGCTTCCTTCACTTAGCGTGACGTCCTCAAGGTCCATCCATGTCGTAGCGTGCGTGAGGATCCCCTTTCTTGTTAAGGATGAATAATAATCCAGCGAGTGTGTGTGTGTGTGTGTGTGTGTGTGTGTGTGTGTGCGTGCGCACCACGTCTTACTTACCCCCTCGTCCACGGCGGACGCGCGGGCTGCTTCCGCTCTCTGGCTGCTGTGAGCGGCGCGGCGCGGCTCTGAGTGCGGGCGCACGGGCACCTGCCTGAGCCCCGCCCTCCGTCCCCTTGGGTGGGTGCTCAGCCGTGAATTCCTGGGTCACACGGTGGTTCTGTCTTCAACTTTCTGAGGAACCTGCGTCCCGTTTCCCACAGCGACCTCACTGTTTTACGTTCCCACGGGCAGCGTGCGGCGCTCAGTCTCCCCACGCCCCCCAGCACTGGTCTCCTCTCCCTCCGACGGCAGACGGCAGCGTGGTGCCGCGGCCGAGCGGAGCTGCTCTCGGGCACCAGCATCTGGAAATGGGCGTGGCAGCCAAGGGCGCTGCCACCTTCTCCCCGTTGCCGGCAGTTAGCAGCTGGAATGGATGCAGTGGGACTTCACATGGGAGGGGGAGCCCATGGCAGCACATGGGAGAAGGACGGCAAACAGGCCTTTTGTGGAAAACCAGGGACGTTGGGTCATTCAGCCGAGGTCTCTTAGACTGGGGATGTCAGCGGTTTCAAATGGAAGGAGCGGGTCTCCTTCAGGCGGTCTCCACAGTGGTGCTGAGGGGCTCACGGTCGGTGGCAGGTCTCTCTAGGGACAAGCTAGGTGCCGTCATGCTGGCACCGCTCGGTGTGAGTCCTGTGCGCGGTGGTCTGCAGTGATGAACCAGGGTGCAGCCCAGCACAGGCTGGGGGGCCTGTCCGACCACGTTCACAAACCCGGCGCGCCCCTGCCCGTCTGGGCACCGGCGTCGCTGCAGAGAACAGGACTCTGGACCCCCAGGCTGGCGACTTCCTTGTGAAAGCCCGGACGCAGGCGCTGGCGGCTTCGCTGACCGCCAGGCTCTCCGTCCCGCAGGACGAGCAACGGGAAGAGCACCGTGATCAACGCCATGCTCTGGGACAAAGTTCTGCCCTCCGGGATCGGCCACACCACCAACTGCTTCCTGCGGGTGGAGGGCACGGATGGCCACGAGGCCTTCCTCCTCACCGAGGGCTCCGAGGAGAAGAGGAGCATCAAGGTGAGGGGCTGTGCAGGGACTGGGGTGGAGACCCACCTTTCACCCAGGGCACCCTGGCGGGTGAGTGTGGGCCTAACCTGAGCAGCTCTATGGTACCTCCAAGGAGAGGGCGGGGCCCCAGTGGTGGACCGTGGGGAGCCCTGTGCCCTGGCTGTGGAGGAGGCGTTGGGGGTGGGGGGGGTGGTAGGTCAGAAACCGGAGCACCAGGAACCGGAAGTCCTGGGTTCCTGCAGATCGCCCAGCAGGCCATCTGGCTTTCTCTTCCCATGAAGGGAGCATGTGCCTTGTTCTTCTTGGGGACGTTGCCAGAGAGCGCTTCCTGCCTTGGCTCTGTGCTTCTGGCGCACCAGCTGGGCCTTGTGCATTTTACTTCCTCTCAGAGCCAGTTGCATTTTTGTTTGGGGCCAGATGCTCATTTTGGTTCATAAAGAATTGATGCAGAACACCATCAGCTTTAGGACGGTATCTAAGAAGAAGCTTAGTAAAGGAGTGAAGGATCGTTGGTTCTGACTGGCGACTCCCAGCCCTTGACTTGTAATGTGTGAAATGAAGGGAAAGGGGTGGCAGGGTGGGCGGCTGTCTCGGGCCACTGCGCCGCACCGGGCAGCGCGGGGAATCTGGCTGGTGGCTGGTCCCTGGCCCTGAACCCCTTTCCCTGCTCCCACCAGACCGTGAACCAGCTGGCGCACGCCCTGCACCAGGACGAGCAGCTGCACGCCGGCAGCCTAGTGAGCGTGATGTGGCCCAACTCCAAGTGCCCTCTGCTGAAGGACGACCTCGTGCTGATGGACAGGTGAGAGGGGAGGGGCCTCCCTGGGACACCGGGGGCGGGGGGGACTGGGTGTCTTCTTTCTTGGTCATTCGAGCCAGCGTCCCCCGGGCCGTGTCGTTGCTCCGCTTACGTGACACTGCCTTTCGCACTGGCCCCACCAGATCCTCCTGCCTCGTGGGGTCTCTCCAGCATCTAGTGACTGTCCCCACTGGCATCGGGGCCTGATGATGTCCCGGTGGTGGTCTGTAAAGCAGGATAGGAGGGCAGCCAAAGCCCCGACCCAGTGTAATGGGGGGGGGCGGTAGGGTCCGTGCTGCACTTCATTTCCGTCGAAGAGCAGTGTGCTTGGCTCCCGCTTTGTGGGCGGGCTGCACTGCACCAAGGAACCCGGCACTGTAGTGCCCGTGGGGCTCACTCCCCTTAACCGTTCGTCTCCAAGTGAAAGCGTAAATGGTTGTGTTTTCGTAAAATGATAGATGCGCGTGGCAGAATGTTGCAAATGCAAAGTAAAACCCCTTTACCGAGGGATGGCAGGCCCCAGTGCTATCCCCTCTGCGGCCGTCTCCTTCCTTTGCTCAGCTGCCTCTGGTCTGTCCAAGCGGGAAGAACAGGGCGCATGGTCTTGAGCCTGATCTTGGTTTACCTCTGTCACCTCTAGCCCTGGCATCGATGTCACCACAGAGCTGGACAGTTGGATTGACAAGTTCTGCCTGGACGCTGATGTGTTTGTGCTGGTGGCCAACTCGGAGTCCACCCTGATGCAGACGGTAACCCCTCCTCTGCCTTCCCCACACTCCCAGGGCCTGGGCTGGCTCGGCCCCTCCCCACTGAGGTCCCTCCCCCCCCATCCAGGAAAAGCAGTTCTTCCACAAGGTGAGCGAGCGCCTGTCCCGCCCCAACATCTTCATCCTGAACAACCGCTGGGACGCGTCCGCCTCGGAGCCCGAGTACATGGAGGAGGTCGGTGCCTCTTTATTCAGCAGTTGGGGGGGCTGCCACCCGCCGTGTGGACCCAGCCCCCCTGTGCGTCTGAAAAGCATCCCCACCATATTAGCAGCGCGATTATTTGGGGCCAGTGCTCACTTTGGTTCATAAAGAGTTAATCGTCATAGAACAGGCTCAGCTTTAGGAAGACATCCAGGAGGGAAGCTGGAAAGAAGAGCGGAGAATAATAGGTTCATGTGTGGAATGAGACAAAAAGGAGTCGCAGACTGGTGACAAGGGATGACAGAGTGTGTAGTCAGCAGGCGGGCATGGGCAGTGTGACTTTGATGAACTCCTTAACCCTTCTGGTAAATTCCTTACCTGTGCGATGGATGTCATAGAGTAACAGCGAGGAAAAAATCTCGTAACATCGAGGAGAGCGCCTGGCCTGTGGCAGGTGCCCGCAAGCGGCTGTCACCGCCTGGGAGTTCTAGGAGCAGAGCCCGGGGGCATCAGAGCTGGACGGGGTTGTGTGGCGGTCCCTGTGGCTTTCCTAAACAAGCCCCGGAGGACTCGGCTTGTCACGGCGGAGCCTGGTTTAGGTTTCTCAACTCCCGCTCCTTCCTGCTGGGGCACGGAAGGGAGACAGTGTGTGGCCCCCCACAGGAGGTGGTTTGGGGCGTGTTGTAGCGTTTCTGCTTCCATATACATAAAACACCTTTGGCAGGCCACACCTGAAGAGTGCAGGGGTGGTGGGAGGCGGTTCACTGTGTATACTTTTGAATACTGAACCGTACGCGAGTGTTGCCTTTTCTGTTTAATCCTCGCCCAAGGACGGACGTGCTTACTGAGAAAGAAGGAGACAAACATGGATCGGTTGCCTCTCGTTCGTACCCTGACCGGGAGTCAAACCCGGGACCTTTTGGTTTACAGGACAGTGACCCAGCCAACTGAGCCGCACCGGCCAGGGCACGTTACCTCTTTGGTAGAGAAGCAGCAGTCGGGGGCCGTGGGCTCCCCCCTGAGGGGCCGCTCTCCCCACCTGCTCACAGCCACGCGTCTGCTTGGGCCCCAGGTGCGGCGGCAGCACATGGAGCGCTGCACCAGCTTCCTGGTGGATGAGCTGGGCGTGGTGGATCGAGGCCAGGCCGGAGACCGCATCTTCTTCGTGTCTGCCAAGGAGGCGCTCAACGCCAGGATCCAGAAGGCCCAGGGCATGCCCGAAGGAGGTGACGATGGGGCAGACTTCCTCCTTTTCCCCGATGTTTGAGATGTTTGCTCTCGTGCTGAGGCAGCCGGTAGAAAGTAGTTCTGAGACGGGGGGTGGTGGGAAGAGCCTTGAGTGAGTGAGAAGCTCTTTGCCCCCCAGCCTCTGTTCAGCCAAGTTCCCCGTAGGCTTGGCTCTGTGGATTTTTACCATTCTCCTCCGCTGCCCTTAGTTCCAGATTAATGTTGTGCAATTCTCCTAGGGGGCGCTCTTGCGGAAGGCTTTCAAGTGAGGATGCTTGAGTTTCAGAATTTTGAGAGGAGGTTTGAGGTGAGTCCTCTGATTCTGGTCCCTGGTGCTTTTGGGCTTCCCCAGCTGTCACCAGCCATGTCGCCGGCTTGAGAACCAGAGCCTGGCCCGTGGCTGGTGGCCCCCCTCAGCGCCCCTTGTCTGTTCAGGAATGCATCTCCCAGTCTGCAGTGAAGACCAAGTTTGAGCAGCACACGGTCCGGGCCAAGCAGATCGCAGAGGCAGTTCGCCTCATCATGGACTCCCTGCACGTCGCGGCCCAGGAGCAGCGGTGAGAACCGGGCCCTTGGCCGGGCCAGGTGCGGGGGGGCGGGGGGCGGGGGGTGCCGGGGGCCACCGGCCCACTGGTGGAGCTCCCCCCCCACCCCCCAAGAGCAAGTCTCTGGGTTCCCATGCCGGTGCCCTTCCCCAGCCGCCAGGCCACACTGGAATCACAGGGAGCAGCCTGGTGAGGGGGCCGCTGGTGTCTGTCCCTCTGGGGTGCGGCCCGCCCCCTGTGATGCCCCCCCCACAAGTGCATGCTGGAGGCCAGGCCCAGGTTGCCCTGAGCACCACAGCTGTTCTCGGAGCCTGAAGCAGACAGAACCCATTATTTTAAAAGAGGTTTTTTTTTTTTTTTGAGAGAGATTAAAATATAGGAAAGTGTAGAGAATAAGATAAAAACACCTTGCTTCCACCACACAGAGTTCACAGTGTTTGCTCCATGCTATTTTTAAGTTAAAATAAAACAGAAAAAGTATTAAGTACCTTTGATTCGTCAGCCCCTTGACCCAGGGTCACTCTGCTCACTCTTCAGAGGCAGCCGTGACCATGAATTTGTGCTGTCGTCCATTTAAAAAGTACTTTTTCCGTAAACCCTGAAGAGTATGCAGTACCGCCTTGCACGTGCTCTGACCGTACAGACGTGGCATTCCGTGTGTGCTGCGGCCCTTCACTCTTACGCATGTGTGTGCGTGCATGTGCGTGTCCTGACACTCGCTGCTGTGGAGCCCTCCCCCGTGAGCTGCGAATGCCTCGTTTTCCCGTTGGCCGATGGGAGGGCTCCTATCTCTGCTACTGCAAAGCCCACTGTGGTGCTCACCAGTTAGTTCATCTGTCCCCTTCACACATGCGTACGTGCCTCTCTGGGACGATTCCTGGAGGTGGATCTGTTCCCTTTGGGGTATATACGTTTTTAGTTTTACCCAGTTTTGCTGTGTCTTCCTGAAACACCTAAACCCAGCAGTCCGTGCTGGAACTCCATTCCCCCGACCCTCACAGGACTTCAGACCGCGTGGGTTTTTCAGGCTTCTAGGGCTGAGCAGTTTTTCCCGTGTTAGTTGTCAGAACTCGTCCTAACCCCCGTGAGGGCGCCTCCCCCACTGGCACTACCACGTCCTCCAAATAGAGGGCCGTGAGTGAGTGAGTGAGTGAGTGGCCACCCCGTCTCTCTCTCACGCCCAGAGAGGGAGCGAGCACCCACCTGGGTGTGCGGGTGAGACTGCCAGGGCCCGCTGCGGCTGGACCACCGCCTCGGCCCACGCAGGCTTTCTGGAGCCCCTCTTGTTCCTCCGCCTGGTCGAGTGGGGGCCTGGGTCTTGTAACCGGCATGCTTGCTCTCAGGGTTTACTGCCTGGACATGCGTGAGGAGCGGCAGGAGCGGCTGAGGTTCATTGACAAACAGTTGGAGCTCCTGGCACAGGACTACAAACTGCGCATTAAGCAGATCACGGAGGAAGTCGAACGGCAGGTGAGAGACGAGGGGGAGGCATGCGGGGAGACTAGGGTAGATCAGAGGCGAGTCCAGGGTGCCGGAGAGGAGGAGAGGCGCGCTCCTCCTCCTCGTAGGGACTGCTCGGCCTCCCAGAAGGAACCCACGGCCCTGACTCAGGCGTGCAGAGTCCTCCCTGGGTTCCCCGTTCCAGGGTGTGGCCCTGGGCAGGTCCCCTCCTGGACCCCTTCTCTGATCTTAGATGAGTGTTCGGTCAGCCAGTCTCACTCTCTTCCGCCTCTAAAGCTGCCACTGCACCGCCGAGCTCAGGAAACCGCCGGCTCGGGGGCAGGGCGCACGGCACCTCCGTCGGAGAGGTGCGGGCGGTGCCGCAGGGTTGAGCCGCGTTCTTCCTCGGGACCTCTGCGCTTCCTTCCGCAGGTGTCAACGGCTATGGCCGAGGAGATCCGGCGCCTGTCGGTGCTGGTAGACGAGTACCAGATGGATTTCCACCCTTCTCCCGTCGTCCTCAAGGTTTACAAGAATGTGAGTCATTAGGCTGCAGCACTCGGGTTGACCCCCCCTACCCCCCCATTCCTTCTGGCTGCCGGGGGGAATCTGCAAACACCGCAGTCCAGCCCCTGCGAGTCTGTGTCAGGGCCCCTCGCCGGGAGAGGAGACCCAGGCCTCACTCGGCTCTCGGAGGTCGCCTGGCGGGTGCAGGCCGGCCAGCCTCGGACCCCCCATCCCTTGGCCCCCTAGAAGGAAGTCCTGGCCGGGGGTGCGGCTCCCCTCAATCTCTCTTCTGGTTGCAGGAGCTGCACCGCCATATAGAGGAAGGGCTGGGCCGGAACATGTCCGACCGCTGCTCCACGGCCATCACCAGCTCCCTGCAGACCATGCAGCAGGAGATGATAGGTCAGTGCGCGGGGCACTCGGGGCTGCACGCGGCTGCCGGAGCTCGCCCGCGGAGGCCAGGCTGCAGCAGTGACCTTTGCTTATCTGTCACCTTTTGTCATGAGTCAGCTCAGTACCTTCAGGTTCTGGGGGATGTCGTCAGCTCATTCCACATGCAGACCTCAGAGCCGGCTTTTGTTACCACACAGGGCTGTCACCCCTGAGAGTGTGGCCTGCTCCTCGGTCCACGAGAGGCACAAACGTTAGCAGGGGTAGAGCCCAGGCCTGTGTCGGGGGGGAGCTGGCTCGCTGGCCCCGAGTGCAGCCTGGTTTCCGGGCAGAACCCTCTGCCAGCCGGCTCCCTCTCTAAGCTCGGCCCCGCCATGGCGTACGGGGAGCTGAGGTACCTCCCCCGTTCCCTCCCCGACAGACGGCCTGAAACCCCTCCTTCCTGCGTCGGCACGCAGTCAGATCGACCTGCTGGTCCCGCGGCAGTGCTTCTCCCTCAGCTACGACCTGAACTGCGACAAGCTGTGTGCCGACTTCCAGGAGGACATTGAGTTCCACTTCTCCCTCGGCTGGACCATGCTGGTGAACAGGTTCCTGGGCCCCAAGAGCAGCCGCCGGGCCTTGATGGGCTACAACGACCAGGCGAGCACAGGCCCTGCCCGTGGCGGTGCGGGAGGTCGGTCTGCGTGTCCAGACACGCGGAGCATTCCGGAAGGGGTTCCAGCGGCCAGCAGCCCCGGCACATGTGCCGCCGCCCTGCACCACGGTGCACCCCGGCCCAGGTTTCCCCCAAAGCGAGCTAGTCTTCCCCTGACCACCAGTGTTTGTGAAACTGTGCGTGCTAGCCGTGGTCTTTTGTAATGCACGTTAAAGCAACTATTAGTGCTATTAAGTTGTATTAATTACTTTCAAGTACCCGTTATAACATGTAACTTAGATCTAGATGACGTGAAGTCTCTCCTTGTGACACTTTACCACCCAGGTGTTACATCAGCTCCCCCCGAGCCCCCTCAGTCGTCACACAGACTGCTGTTCGTGTGCGTCCTCACTGGGGGGCGCTGGAGTGGTGCAGGCTGGCCACGGCTCATGGTTTGGGGCGCCCACCATGCTCGCCTTTGGGCTGGCAGGTCTCTTATGAGGCTTAGATCCTCTTTGCAACTTGCAAAGTCCATTGTCCCCTGTTAGGCCTTTGGAACTTGAAAAGCCGCCTCTGTCCCTGCTTCGGGACCCCCGACCTGGAGGGTCACGTAGGGTTCCGTTGAATGAGACCCATTCTTCTCACCCCTCCCCCGGTTTCTCTCTTCAGGTCCAGCGTCCCGTCCCCCTGACGCCAGCCAACCCCAGCATGCCCCCCCTGCCGCAGGGCTCCCTCACCCAGGAGGAGCTCATGGTTTCCATGGTCACTGGCCTGGCCTCCCTGACGTCTCGGACCTCCATGGGCATCCTGGTTGTTGGAGGAGTGGTCAGTGACAAGTCCCGCTCGGGCGGGGTTGGGGGGCAGTAGGGCATGGCACCGGTGGCCCCTGGGCTGGCACAGCGTCTTCACCGCCACCAGTCCCTGCCCTCGTCACCGGTCTGCAGGGAGCCGCGCGGCCTCGGTCCTTTGACCCGTGTGTGTGCCCGCTGCCTTGTCTCGCTCGGCCGGCATTTAGGGGGCACCACTCCCACTGGGCAGATGAGGGAAGCCTGTGGTTAGCTTGCCAAAGACACCGGCAAGGGCTTGGACTCTGGCCCTGCCTGACTCTCAGGCAGCGTTCTTCCCTCTGTGGGGCTGCACCGCGTGGTGGGCAGGGAGGGACCCGCGAAGTGGACAGGCCTGGGTTCTGGCGGGGGGGGGGGGGGGCGCGACCGGGAGCCCCTCACTTGTAGGCAGGGAGTCAGGAGCAGGCTTGAAAGGGTTTAAGACGAGGCCAGGCCCGGCCCCGAACCCTGTCTCTCCATCTGCTGGGCTTACGGCCCCTTCCTCTGCACCTAAGGCCTGAAATTGCAGGCCACCCTCTCGATCACTGGGGTATTTTGTGCTTCCGGATCCGAGAGACACCGCAGCCGGGGTGACTAACTTACGCCGTGAATTTTCCTGATGAGGTGGGCAAGTTCTCCCCATCCTGGGCACCTGATTTACAGAAGTGGCGGCAGGATGCCACTAGCGAAATGGCGTTCTCAGCGGGTGAGACTAGGGTGAGAGGGCGAGGCCCCGTCCCTCCCGGTCTGCAGAGGCGTGTGCTCTGCTGCTTTCGCAGGGGTGGCCTGGCCGAGGGTCTCCAGCTGAGGCGCTGGCGCCTGGTGGTTATGGACCCCTGTACACCGTCTCGTGTTGCCCAGGCAGCCCTGGGAGTGGGGCGGAGGCCGTTGTGCTGGTTTTCGAGGAAACAGGCGTACAGAGGCTTGCCCAGGGCCGTGCAGCCAGGGCGGCGGGCAGCACTGGAGCCCCGATTCCTGGCCCCAGGTCCAGCGCTCGTTGAATGCGACCTCCCGGCCGCGCAGCAGTTCCCCAACTCCCGGCCCGGAGAGAAGCCCCCGCGGAGGAGTGCGGTCTGGGGCGTGACACGTCAGTGTCCCCAGCGCACTGGTGCCTGGGAGTTCTGTGTGCTGGGTCTGTGCTTCCAGCCCTAGCCGCACCCCCTGCCGGTCGAGGGTCACGGGTCACGTGTGCACACCTGCATTTCCCTCCCTTTAACCCTAGAGCCGGTCCCTGCCCTGTGGGCCTCAGCAGGGGTGGAGGAGACAGGGAAAGGCGTTCTGAGTCGCAGCACCAAGGACTGGTGGGGCAGCCCGGGCAGGGACAGGCTGAGCGGACGGGCAGTCGGGGGGCAGAGGCCGGGACGGCTGACCGCTGTGCTCCGCAGGTGTGGAAGGCGGTGGGCTGGCGGCTCATCGCCCTGTCCTTCGGGCTCTACGGCCTGCTCTACGTCTACGAGCGTCTGACCTGGACCACGAAGGCCAAGGAGAGGGCCTTCAAGCGCCAGTTTGTGGAGTACGCCGGCGAGAAGCTGCAGCTCATCATCAGCTACACCGGCTCCAACTGCAGCCACCAAGTCCAGCAGTGAGTCGCGGCAGCCCCGAGCCCGGCGCCCACCTCCCTGGCGCAGGACTTCCCCCTCCCGGGTTCCCCTCCGAGGCCGGCCTGGAAACCGCCGGGCCCCGACGTCACCTGACGCCGACCCTCAGCCGTGCAGGGCGCACTTGGGGCCAGGGATGGAGGGAAGCCTCTCTCCAGGGACGCGCCTGCCGGGGCTGGGACCAAGTAGGGCTCTGGTTCCCCAAGGAAGGGGGACGTGGGAAGATGAGAGATGTCACCTGCAGGATGTTTTTAAAGGTTGTCTCGAGGGGCCTGCCTTGTGGGTGCAGCCTTAAATTCTAAGGCACAGCCCGTTCTCCGGGGTGCGTCTCCGGTCCGGGGGAGTGGGCCCTCCGGTCTGGGCGGTGGGTGGATGCTGGCCGTGACGTGGCCGGCCCTTTGCCTTGCGTTTTCTCCTCCAGCCCTTGAGAGGCAGACGGATGTCTTTAAAGATTGTGTTTACTTATTCATGAGATTTTCTTTTTAGAAGGGAAGGGAGGGAGAAAGGGAGAGAAACATCAGTGTGTGGTTGCCTCTCCTGTGCCCCCCACTGGGGACCTGGCCCACAACCCAGGCATGTGACCTGACTGGGAATCGAACCCTTTGCTTGGCAGGCTGGTGCTCAGTTCACTGAGCCACACCAGCCAGGGCAGATTTTATTTATTTTTAGAGAGAGGGGGAGGGAGGGAGAAAGAGAGGGAGAGAAACATCTATCGGCTGTCTCTTGTGTGCCCCCAACTGGGGGCCAGGCCCGCAACCCAGGCACATGCCCTGAACGGGAATCTAGCTGGCAGCCTTCCCGTTTGTGGGATGACGCGCAGCCCGTGAGCCACACCAGTCAGGGCTGGAGGTAGACGTTTTTCTTGGCATTTGGTTCTTAGAAGTGGAGAGAGAGCAGCTGGAGGTGTGGTCGGTTGTTGCCTGCCATTGGGCCCAGGAGTGGCAGCACCAAGAGCTGATTCCTAGGGTCTTGAGTCCAAGCCGGGGTTTAGTGCCCGGTGCTCCTGGTCCGCACGCTGTGTGTGTGTGTGTGTGTGTGTGTGTGCACGTGTGTGCGTGAGCGGGTTGGGATTGCACAGTCTCAGCACAGGGTAGGGAGGGTCCTGCCCATCAGGACTGGGGCAGGACAGAGCCACCAGCATGTGACAGATGGGCTCGGCTGCTGCCCTGCCCCTGGCGGGTCGGAGTTAGCCACCAACGGCGTCCTGCGAGACGGCCGCCGTGCCAGGCTGACCCTGACTCTGCCTTCAGGGAGCTGTCGGGGACGTTTGCGCATCTGTGCCAGCAAGTCGACGTCACCCGGGAGAACCTGGAGCAGGAGATCGCCGCTATGAACCAGAAGATCGAGGTTCTCGACTCACTGCAGAGCAAAGCGAAACTGCTCAGGTGAGCCTGGCCCGGGCGCAGCAGTGGGCTCCGGTGTGCGGTGTGGGTGCCGTGGTGGCCCCGGTGCTCGTCTGTGTCTTTGATGCGGACACACGTCTCTGCTGGGGACTCAGCTCGCTCCTGCGTGAGACGGTTGCCAAGTGCCGGCGGGGTGGCCAGTGCGGTGCCAACACCGGGGGCTCAGCGAGACACAGTCACTGCACCCCCCGGCTCTTGCCCTCATGGTGGTGGTGGCAGCAGAGGAAGCCAGCCGTGTGGGACTGGGAGGGCGCGGCTCACTGGCACCCTCTCAACGCAGCGTCTCGGGCACCTGGCAGGGGCTGCCCTGCTCACCCGCCAGCATCCCCGTGGGGCCGCACTGTCGCCTCCACTTTAGAGAGGAACTCGGGGCCGCAGAGGTTAAGTGGCTCGTCGGGAACCTCCCGGGAAATGGTGAAGCTGGAGGGGGAGAGTGCAGTGTGCTGGGCTCCAGTGCCCTCTGACACTGTCTGCTGGGCACCCCGGGCCAGGCCCACGCACCCTTCACTCCCTCCGGGAGCCCCGGAGAGGGGCTCACTGGCGTTTTCGCCCACAGGAAGCTGGTTAGGTGGCAGGCACCCGGCGGGACGTGGGCTGGGGCCCAGGGGTCTTTGTCGTAACCATGTTTGCTAGAGAGCGTTTTGATCTGAGGAGCCAGGGCCTGGGGTCTGGTTCGGGCAAATCTCTGAGCTTTCCTGTGTCTCGTTGCTCTCACCTGTAAGATGGCGTGAGCTTTCGTGACACAGCCGCAGCGCTGAACTCACGTCACAGTGCTCTGCAGAGGTCCCGGGCCCCGCCGAGATAACATCAGCTCACGGGGACCCCGGGCTTCCTGCCCCCACTCGTCACGGCAGCACTTGGGGGCCGCGTCATGGGGCCCAGCTCCAGCCCCGGGGACGTGGACTTCCCCTTCCCTGCCCGTGCCCTCCCCACCCACCACCCGGGGCGGCCAGTTCCTAGGGCCCCGCTCACCCCCTGGGGACTCTCGGGGTGCGTGTGGGGAGTGTGTGCTGCCTGCCAGCCACGGGCACGGGGCGAGCCTGAGACCGGATGGGCAGGGAGACCAGTGCCCGCCGGTTCGTGGACTTGCCCGTGGGCCCAGGGTGGGGCCGCCATGGTCTGCGGGTCAGGCCTGCAGGAAGCGCTGTCACCTCCCCGGGCCTCACTCTCCTCGTGTGTAAGCAGGGGGTTTTGGGAGGGGGTTTTGCCAAGAACGAGGGTTGGCATGTGATGCTAATAGTACCTATCATCAGCTGTTACCACTGCAAAATCACCATTTCCCCGCAGGAATAAAGGCGGTTGGATGGACAGTGAACTCAACATGTTCGTGCACCAGTACCTGCAGCCCGGCAGATAGTGGGCGGCCCGGAGCCGGCGCGCGTGGGGCAGGGCGGCGCCACCAGCCTCGTGGGGCCGCCACCCGAGCCACGCCCTGCTCCTGGCTGGCCCCCCGTGAGGATGAAAGCACCAGTGTTTCACCCCACTCTGGCCCTCACACACTAGTTCCTCCCCCGCCTCGCCTGCCGCTGCAGGAAGATTTCCTGGCTCACACCCTGACGGAGACTCGCTGGAGACCGTGGCCAGCGTGGCACCGAGGAGTCGAGTCTCGTCATCTCTGCCCTGTCGGGGCCACTCGACCGAGCATCGCTGGAGCGCTCGATCGGGTCCCGGGTCTCCCAGCACCGCAGAACGCCTGCCCGGGCCTGTCGGGGCGTCAGGCGCACCCACCTGCTCCAGCCCACACTAATGCTGACGCATGCGTACCTGTGCTCCTCAAGCGCTGCCCCCACACCGGAAGGGGCCACCTCGGGGGTGGTCGGGCTTGCTTCTCAGAGCGCACTGGCCGGGCTCCGGCCCAGAAGGCCCTGGGGCTCGCGTCAGTTCCGTCCTTAGCTTCCATGCTTTGTCCCGAGTGCCGTGCCTCTCAGACTGGCCGTGGTGGCCGGGCTCAGCACAGACGCCCTGGGTTATAGGCGAGGCGGGCCCTGTGCCGCGGGTGGGGTGGGGGGTTGGCTCGGGGCTGCAGAGGTGACCAGTGTGGTGAGAATAGCGTAGTGGGTCGTGCGTGTGTGTGTGTGTGTGTGTGTGTGTGTAGGCGTGTGCCCTCCTGACACTTGCGCGGTTGGAGGGGTAGCTGTTAACCATGACGAGGAGGGACCGGCCTGCCTGCTCTTCGTCGTGTCCCTCGTTCCGCACAGTCTGGCTTTATCGTTAGCGAAAGGAGGTTTGGTGCTGACCGTCAGAGGACGTAGCAGAAGGAGAGAGGGTGGAAGGGAGGGGACGTTGGTGGCAGGTTGAGAGGAGCGGGCCCCCTTTCGGGACGGCCGGAGAGGGTGGTGTCGGTGCAGAGTAGGGGCTCTCAGGGGCTGAGAGCCCACCCCACCAGCCTGGTTGCATCCCTGTTACGCCCTTTAAAAGACATGCCCCCACCCCCAGCTTGGCCCAAGCTGCCCTTGGCCACCTGTCCCCTGGACTCACTCTCCTGTGCCGTTCGCACTGCGTTTGGCCCAGACACCGAGTGGGCACCCCGGGGCCCGGCCTCCCGCCCTCCCCAATCCCCAGGTTCCCCGACCCACACGCACGTAGCCTGTTAACTGGGAAACGTTTCCACCGTTGGGTCTGGGTCTAGGGGTTGTTACTGGTTGAAGCAGGGGCAGGTTCCTGTCTCCAGTGGGTTAGCACTCTGGGCAAGCAGCTTTGGGGGACAGCTGTTGCAGCACACGTCAGAGAACGCGCTAGAAACAGGCAGCCTCACCCAGCAAGCGGCAGGGCTTAGGCAGAGAGCTGGGGTTCGTCCTGTTCCTTGGAGTCCACCTGCTCTCTGGCGCCAGGATGCGAGTGGGTGGCCTCTCTAGGCCCTGCTGGTCCTGCAAGCCCTCGGCCCGCCCCGTCGTGAGCAACTAAGGGACGGGTGTCCCCGAGTTGAGTGCTTGCGGGCCTGGGCGGCGGTCGCCTCACAGCACGTCAGGAGCAGTTGCTGTCTCGCAATTCCAATGAATTTTGTGCTTTTTGGGAAAAAAATATTTAGTATAACTAAACGTGAATTGTTTTGAATGTAGCCCCTGGGCAGTGTGCGGAATGGCGAACTCACGCAGTGAATAAAGTGAAACGCGCACCACCACCAAGGGAGAGACTCTAAAACAAGCGGGGCGCAGAGACATTCTGACCCGATGCTGCTGACCTTTTTCTGTGTGTGCGTGTGTTCGCCGGGGGGCGAGACACGCATCTAAGATGACGTGTTGGCCTGAATTACTTCCGTGTCGATGCTGATCATATCGGAAACTGAAATAAAGCTGGTTGGGAGCCCTCCGTGGGGTCGTCTCAGGTCGCTGCTCTGCGGACTCCCTGTGGTGGCGTCGCTGGCCCGCAGGTCCGTGGCCTAAGGTGATGTCAGCTTCGCCGAGGGGAAGTTCCCTCCACAGTTCGCCCTCGGACTGCTCACTCTTAGAAGAAATCTGATACTCTCAGAAGAACCAGAGGCGTAACTGATCTTTAAGGGGCAGGAAATCTAGAGTGATTTCCTCCCAGATCTCACTGCATCTCGAAGCCATTCATTTCTCACTGACAATGGCGTGACTCACACGGGTCCACCCTGGCTTGCCTTCTGAGAACTCGGTTGTGACCTTTTCTCTCTCTCTCTCTGTTTGGAGGGCCCTCGGGTCCCCAGCCCTCCGTCCCGAGCCCTGGGCAGTGGCGCCGCCCACGGCCCCCACCGCTGGTCCCTTTCAGAGGTCCCCGCGTCCTGGTGGGTGGCAGCAGCCTCACCTCCCAGGTCCCCAGGCTACAAACGTGGCGTCACCCTGGACTCCACTGTCACATGCTGCATTGAAACAAGACAAGTTCTGTGTTGGTTTGAGAGAGAGAAACATTGCTTTGGTCGTTCTCCTTTGCTCACTGGCTGACGCTCACGTGTGCCCTGACCGCGGTCAGGCTGGCGCCCTTGGCATGTCAGGATGGTGCTCTCCCCAGCAGAGCTCCCTGGCCGGGGTGCGTGGGCTGCACCCAGCCTGCAGTTTCTATATTCCGAGTGCTTCTAGACCCAGACCAGTGTTCCCCCACACTAGCCCCCGAAACCACCAGTCAGGTTACTGCCACCTAACTCGGCCCCTCCTCCCACCCCGGCCCTCCTGTGTGTGTGTCCGGGCAGCAGCCAGAGGGACCTTCACGTGCATTTTAAACAGAACTCAGGCCACGTTGCTTCTCTGCTCAGCACACTGCTCCAACTCCCCGTCCCACCCAGAACGAGGCCCAAGTCCTGGTGGCCTTTCAGGGTCTGCACTCCCTCCGGCCACCCCCCTCTCTTTCCTGCTGCCCCCGCTTCAGCCACTCCAGCTCCTTGCTGTGGCTTGGGACCGCTCAGCACACTTCTCGGTGAGGGCCTTTGCCCCGCCCGACCCTCCAGCCCCCGCCCAGTCTTCCAGACCTCGTCACAGCTAACTTAACTCCATGACCTCCCCAGCTGCAGAAATGCTTCCTCGTTCTCGGGGCCCGCCCAGACCACCTTACTCAAAATCCCTCCTTCCCTGCCTCCGGCACTTCTGAGGCCTCTCGCCCTGCAACATGTGTGATGCACGTGTTTTTCATAACATCCTCTAGCATACAATGTGTGATGTGTCTCTCCCTGCCAGAGCCTGAGTTCCGAAGGCCGAGGTTTCATGGGTCGCTGTGTGCCCAGCCTCTAGACGAGTGCCTGGCACAGAGCCAGGACTCGGTAACCAGGAGCTGAATCGGTGGGTCCCGTCCCGATCACAGTCCTCACATGTAACGGCCGTCTGGCATTGGGGGGGCAGCACAGGTGCTGCTGGAAACTTCCTCTGGGTCGTGCTGGGGCTTCCAAGAGATCCAGTCTCGGGGCAGGAGGGGTGATGGGGCCTGGGATGGATGGAGTCTGAGACCTGACATGCCCAAGGCTTCCCAACTTACTTTTTACCCTGGCCCCAATCATGATCCAGTAAACACGTGTGAGTGAAACCAAGAATTTGTTTAGAGAGAGGGGAAAGGAAGGAGAAAGAGAGGGAGAGAAACATCATGTGTGGTTGCCTCTCGTGCGCCCCCTACTGGGGACCTGGCCTGCAGCCCAGGCATGTGGCCTGACTGGGAATTGATCCGGCGACCCTTTGGTTTTCATGCTCACACTCAGTCCACTGAACCACACCAGCCAGGGTGAAACCAAGAATTTTAAACCAGTCCTTACTCTGTCTGCAACCCACAAGTGTTCTCTCCTCAAGAAGCAACCGTTCGCAGCTCCCTGAAGTGTTCCCCAGCTCTCGGACCACGGCCCAGTCTGCGTGGCTGGAGAAGGGTGTTCTGCGTCTCGTAGCCTCCCTTGCCGCCCCCCACCCAGGTCTCTATCCCCAGCCAAGGCCTGGCTCCTTCCTGCGCGTCCTCAACCCACCTCATCCGTCCACTGCGTGTTCTGAGGAACCCGAGAGGCCAGAACTCGGGCCTTCGTCACAAGGTCCCCACTGAATCACAGAGCGTGTGGTCAGGATTGTATCTCTGGGCCGTCCTCACAGGTGTCAGCTAAATTCGCTCTGTCTGCCAGAGCAGTTTTCTGTCTCTGAGTCAGACCTGGGGCTTGTTGAGGGGACAGCCAGCGTTTACAGCGAGCTCAGCATGTGTCACGCGTCTGTGCGTGAATCCGAGTCCTCTCAAAAACTCAGTGGTCTGTCGTTTGTAGAAATGAGAAAGCTCATGCATTCAGCAAACTATTGGAGAGTGTCCCAGGTGCATTAATAAGCATGGTGCTAAGCATTGGAGGCACAGCGGTGAATGAGGGACATAAAAATCCCTGCCTTTCCGGAGCTTGCACACTAGCGGGGGCAGGCGGACCACAGGCAAAACCAAGCAGTAAAAGACACACTAGGGTCCTGGCTGGCGTAGCTCAGTGGATTGGGCGCGGGCTGCGAACCAAAGCGTCGCAGGTTCGATTCCCAGCCAGGGCACATGCCTGGGTTGCAGGCCATGGCCCCCAGCAACCACACATTGATGTTTCTCTCTCTCTTTCTCCCTCCCTTCCCTCTCTAAAAATAAATAAATAAATCTTTTTTAAAAAAAAGACACACTAGGACAGGAGGTAAGGACGACTAGTCAACGAGGCAGGGCGGGGTGAGGGAGGGTGTGACCAGCGTCATTGAGAAGACATTTGAAGGGTCTTGGAGGAACCCCTGTGGTTATCTGGGGCAGGGCATTCCAGGCAGTTGGGCCAGCATGGGCAAAGGCCCTGAGCTGGGAGCATGCCCAGTACCTTCAAGGAACAAGAGCAGACTAGGGTGGCTGGAGCCGAACCCGGGAGGTGGCGCAGTAGGAGATACGGTGTGGAAAGGACCAGAGGCAGAGTGGGGCGAGGGCCGGCTTTTCCTGGGGGAGAGGTAGGGGCGCTGAGAGGAGTGGCGTGAGCTGACTCAGTACGTCCTGAGTCCCAGGCTGCCGGAGAGCAGACAACCGATGAAGGAGGGAGGTGGGGAGACTGGTCCGGAGGCGACCACGACATTGCAGGGGGAGAGAGGATGCTGCGCTGGTCAGGCAGGGGTGATGGAGGTGGTGAAAAGCAGTCAGGTTCTAGAGACCTTTTGAAGATAGGCACGGTGCATGGTGGATGACTCAAGGTTTTGTCCTGAGCCCACGAGAGGGCGGGGAAGGCTTTGGGGGAGTGGGTTTGGGGAGGAGATGAGGAGTTTCAGTTTGGACACATCAAATTTGGGTTCTCCTGCTGTCATTGGGTCTGCAAGGTTGGAGCTCAGTGATTGGCGAAGTCTGACCCGGAGACACTTGGAGAGTCAGCGAGTGGGCAGTGCCTTGGCCAGGGTTTCCCAGAAAACAGAGGGCCCCCGCGCCCTCATTTTGCTCTGTGGAGCAACCCCCGAGGGAGGGAGAGAAGTCAAAAGCAGGGAGAGCCAGCAGGAGGAGGCATTATGGAGCTGACCGCCACCAAACGGAACTGCCGAATGAACAGACTGTGACCCCGAGAAGCCGTGTAAATGAGTCTCAGCACCATTTCTCACTGGGGAGAAAGGGAGAAGAATTTATCCATTGTCTCCTCTTCCCATTGGTTGAAGATTGGCCCCATGGGGGAGTGGCTCCCCGCATTTCTGGGTCGCATGTATAAACGCCTGGGTGCTAACTTGGGGCGATGGTAGTTGGTGGAGGCGAGAGGGGCAGGCGTGGGCAGGCGTGTTTGCAGGGCAGGCCGTGCCGGCATCAGATCACTCGGAGCTGGGACAACAGGCAAGGCCAAGAGGGGAGGTGTAAGTCCAGTGGGACAGGGCCCCCTTCAGGGTGGTGGCCAGCACCATCTCTGCCTCAGAGGATTAGTGGCCCAAGCTGCCTGTCCCTGGTCCACCCCCATTCTGGATTTCCCATATCCGGGTCCAGTGCTGCTGCTGCTGCTCTGGTTATTTCCTGGTGGGGTGATCCCGCCCTTCAGCCCCAGGGGTCTTTGCCTTGGTTGGGCAGTTATCCACTGCCTGTTATCAGTGGGTATGGAGACGCTGTGCTACATCCAAGGGTGTTTTTCCACAAACCCCTGCCAGCCCTGACTCCTTACAGTGACTGGGGTCTATTATCCCCGGCGGTGGGACACCTCTCTTTGCCTGATGATCCACCAAAGATGGGGGCGGCGGGGGGGGCGGTCTTATCTGCAAGTTCGATGGAGCCCTGGGGCCCTATTGTGTGCCCTGGCAGAAGCTTCCTGTCCCCAGGCACTGGAACCTCTAACCGGGCCGTACTGATGTTTGCAGGGACAGGAACAAATTCCGTGAGTGGGTCACTGGGAGTAACGGAGAGGGGGCTTCTACCTCCAACCTCCGCTTCCCGCACCCATGTGTTCCGGCTGGAGGGGACACAGCAGCCTGCCTCGGCTTCCTGGAGCACAGAGCCGCGGGGGCTGGTTCCAGAGCTAAGCCTTTCGGGCTGTGCACCACTTAGGTGCCTCAGTTTTGGGTAAGATCAGTAGACCCTGTAGTCAGACACCCATTGTCCCCAAATGGGTGCCTTGGTGTGAGGCAATGGGAAGCCACCATGTTGCTCTATCAGGTGATCTACAGCCCGCAGACAGAGGTGCAATTTGCACACCATCCAGCTGGCTGGTTGTTGACCACCTCCCCTAGATGTGAAACACAAGACACAAAGGTGTAATCCTCCGTGCCCCCTCCCATCAGTCCTCCTTGGTTCGTCTTCCTACCCTTCCCCCCTTTCTCCCAGACCCCAGTCTTCCAACCTTTTTCTCCAAGGCTCTTGAGCGCCACCCAAGTCACTGGCCACCGCTCAGGAGACTGTGTGTATCTGTTCCTCGGACCGCTCATCCTTCA